ACCTTTAACACCTCTTCTACCCTCTGACTCTCCTTTATGTTACCTCTGGACACTAACAGAACGTGGCAAAAACATCTCGATCGCGAAAACCTGGGTGACTGAAAGTTTCTTCGGAAAAACAAAGTTAATCCTACAATGATAACTTGACGGGAACATTTGTCACAACAGTTTGCAGACAGATGTTTTCGCACGGTGACAAACAAACCACCCCGCTGTGGAATAATACTCGACGCTTTATTGCAAAAAGTAAAATCTCAAACTCATCCAAACATTATGAATTTTACACGAGCTATAACTTGCAATGAATATAAAGCGACGGGAGCGTTTGGGCGGCGTACGGGAGTGAGATGGATAAGGAATAGAAAGGAGCAAACTCGCTGGATGCATTTCACCTGCAGACCTCGCCGTGAAATATGAAAGTTGGGCCTGATAATCAATCACACAGACAACAGTCCCAGTTGCAATCACGGTCGTAATGTTTTCCTCGCTGAAAAATGCACAAAAATACCGACTCTGGGCCAAAAAGTTTATTAGAGATTCGCGGAGTGGCAATTCTAGGCGAGAGGAAAGTTTCAATTCAGATGAGATTGAGATCTGAAATGTGGCATTTTATCCAGTAGTTTTGGGAGTAAACAAGAGGGGGGAAAGAGTTCTTACTTTATTTTGGGTTATTTAACAGCTCATATTTACTGACCAGCCTCACCTCAGTCTGGAGATACGTCCCCAGGAGGATCTAAAGTATATCTTAAAGGGACTGTGCCAGATTTTTCAGTGTTTAAAAATGTGAAAAACAGAACTAGTTCATTTTGCAGTGGTTCAAAGATGTTCCTCACTTACCTTATGCATTCAGAGCATCATAATTATTCACCACGATGAGTTTATAAGTGCTTTTTTACAACTTTCCACTCAGAGAACTCAGAGAAGACCTTTTGACAGACATGTGTGGTGTAAGTCGAGGAGCTAAACTCACTTCTTATGACCCCCGCGTTTACAGACTTTATTTCACTGATTACACACTGAAACAAGACAAGAACCGTTATCATGGTGCTTCTAATTCTAATAGTTATTTTTAATTGTGGAGAAAATTCTCCACTTCACAAGGGGGAAATGACTGGACTTTGGATGTACATGAATTTCCTGAATTATTCAGAAGGCACATACACTGAAACATAACATTTCTTAAGAAGTAGAAGACAGAAGACAGAACTAGATATAACAAGACAAGTAATAAAAAAATATTATCACACCAACGCTGTCCGCTCAACCAGATGTCAGCCATATTGCGTTAAGATTTGCTTAGCATTTTTATAAATGTACTTTTACAAACTCCTCCTAGGGCAGACATGTCAAACTCAGGCCCAGGGGCCAAATTTGGCCCGTGATATAATTATATTTGGCCCATAAGATCATATCAAATATGCATTAGAGCTGGTTCGCTGGCTTCAGATAGGCAATAGAGACATTATTTATTTAAAATGCTGTCATTATTTTATATTATGCTTGTTCTGGATTTAATGTTTAAGCAAAATTATTTTTGAACATTTATTTTAATAAGAAAGGGTTTAACATTACATATCTCAAAAAAGAGAAAACATACAGATGTTGTTGAAATTTTTCAATAAATATTATTTTGGCCCATGACTTAGTCCCAGTTTTTCATTTTGGCCTCTGTGAATTTGAGTTTGACACTCCTGTCCTCGGGCGTTCACCTGAACAGGCTCGTGTTTGATAAAAATAATCTCAAGGGGTAGGACATCAAAAGTTATTTACATAGGTCTTACGATCTCTGTGCAGTGAATGCGCAAGCATCACACAATTCTTGGGAAATTTTGAATTTATACAAATTGCATTTTATATGGGAAGATTTATTTATTTATTTTTTTCCTGAAATTTTGCACAGAATTCCATTATGGCATCCTGATCACATAAGTCTATATTGTTCTAATTATTAAGTCACCAAATCTCACAATGGGTTATAAGAAAATAAATAATTAAATAACGAAATCCAGGGTTAGAGTATGGTTGGGGGTAAAGGTTAGGGTATGGATGTGGTTAGTGTTACGGTTATGAGGTTAAGGTTAGAGTGGGTTAGAAGGTTAGGGTAAGAGTTGATTGCTAAGGTAGTGTAAATGGGAAGTACGCTGCAGATGATGTGACAACAATTAAGACAGACCTTGTGTCTAAGGTGAGCTGTTACTGTCACAAGAGAAACCAATGGCCAAATCTACAGAAAACTACACAGAATGTAATGGTTTTATGTTCAACATAAAACAATGAATCATTTTTGTAAAAATACTACAAAAAATAGGATGAGATAAAAGGCAGAAGCTGGTCCGTTCAGTTCCTGGAGAGATGGGAGGCTCCGGCGATCACTTTCTCAGAACAGAACACAATTGTTTATCTTCCTCATAGTTCATTATATATGTGTAGCCAGGCAGTAATTATATGGGTGTGTGCAACTTCTGGTGAGGTAAGTAAGAATGAATGCCCTCCCCACATTTAATAAAACACAACACCGGCAGCTAATCAAATCTGCTTTATCAGCGTCTCAAGTCTCAACATGTGACTGAACCACATTGCATTTGTTTCTGGAAGACATTTCACAGCAACAGTGTGTTTTGTCGAGAGGTAAGTGTTCTGTATTAAATGTTTCCTGATATATGTTTGATTTAAAGGTGCACTGCATAACTTTTCTGGTAGAGGGTACGCTCTTTGCTTGCCCCTGGAATGTTCTATGGTATCACATTTACATACATTTTAAGAAAGGTTTGGCTCCGAAACGTCACATTGTGGTGTTTCAACTGCAGTGTGGATCTGTTTTTTTTCTTTTGCACAATTTCTGTCATTGCACCCAGCACACGGTTACAACTTTTTGTAACCATTTCTATTTCTCAGAAAATACAATAATTCCTTCTATGAATAGTGGCGACTCTCCACAGATCTGAACTGTAATGTAGTGTAGTTCTGTAATCTCTTTAGATAGGTTTAATCCAGTGTTTCCCAAACTTTTTCTGGGGACCCATATTTTAAAAGTCACAAATCTTTGCAACCTAAATCAGCAGACATTATTTGTAAATCACAAAATAAATTTGTGACCATTATTGAACATTAATGAGGATATTTTATGGTTGACTGAGTGATCGTGTCTCTCGGAACAATTAGTATTACTCAAATTTTAAACAGTGAAAAACAGTAATTGGTGTTTCCCGCAGAATGGTAGTTAAGACAAGGCTGTGCTGCAGAAAAAGTGAGGAGTGGAAAGCACGGAGATTGCGTGCACGGAGAAGTGAGGAGCAGGGGTGCGCATGTATGTGTATGTGTGTGTATACTGCAGACCTACATGCAGATTGTGGCACGACAACCCAAAAAAATCTCTTGCGACTCACCTGATGACTGCGACACAGTCTTTGGGAAACAATGGTTTAATCTATACTGTGGATCATTCTAGACTATATAAAGATCATATAAAGACAAAAAAAGATTTTATAATTTTACCTCATGCATGGACAAAAGCTGCATTGCTTTTATTTTTCTGTGTCTTTTACTACATTTTTTGTAAGGCAACCTCACCTTTTCATTGCTTAGTCGTAACATACATTTTCCAGTGTAACCAGCTTGTCAAAACGTGATGTACCTTTAAAGTAAGAAATGTGTTGGAAATAACATTTAAGAATTTCTCTCAAGACACATATTTAAGAATTTGAAAAGAAGAGAAAGAAAGAAAACCTTTTGAGATTCATAAAACACTCTGACTGTGTTTAGGCATGGTACATATATAACAGGATTACATTTAGGGCTTCTTTTTAACCCTTGTATTGTGTTAGAAAGCTACACGCGTCTTTAGTGTTACCGGGTCAAATTTGACCCGTGATTTAACTCAGCCTGAAAATACTTAAAAACACTAGATATCATCCAATATTGTTTTTTCCCCTCATAACTAACTTAGTATGTGTTCATGTCCATGGAAACATTTTTATTTTTTTATTTTTTTTTGGCTGCACAGACCTTTTATCTTAAAATAGCTGTAGCCACCGCGTTCCAAATAGAAAGTTCTCCAGGAGGCTCTTCCGGCTCCTTCTGACTCTGGCTCCAATTGACTTATGTTAGGATCTTGTCGTCCTTCTCTCTGTACCTGCTGCTGTGAACCTCGTCATTTTGGTCTTAAAATATACGTATTAACCTGCGACACATGATCCTGATTTTTTTTTTTTTTTGGCTGTTTTGTCTGTCCAAAAAATCCTATTCATAACATATAACCTGACTCTAGATTCACTCCTGTAACCGTGAGCTTCATTTGAGCGGCGCCAAACGCTGTGGGTGACGTCAACTCACTTAGTTCACTTCTTTTATTCAGTCCGTGCCCTCATCCTCATCCTCAGACACATCTTCCTCAGCTTCACTTTCCTCTCTGTCTTCAGAATCACTGTCATGACCAAAAATCTGATCCAGCGCCTCATAAACAGTGAACCTGCTCATGTTGACTGATGCTGCAACAGATACAGCTGATAATAATTCTCACTAAAACCCTGTTATATATGACAATGTTTATTTTAGATTCAAAATGTATCAATGTGCTGCAAGAAAGAGAAGAGTTCACGTGGGTGAAGACGACCTTTTTGTGTGTGTGTGTGTGTGTGTGTGTGTTGTGGGACACACTGAGCCATATTTGATCCACAGAGCAGCCTACAGCTTGTAAGTGATGCATAAAACAGCCACTATTCTCTGCCGGGTCATTTTTGACCCGTAACACCACAGATGTCACTTTTTTTTTTTTTCAGACCTTTACAATTTACTAAAATGGTGAAAATTGATTTTGTTGCGTTAAAATAGTTGTGTCTGAGGATTAGATGAAGCCTCATTCCGGTACAAAAAAGCAAATGGCAGTTTTTACATACCTAAACTTGAAAACGGGTCAATTTGACCCTAACACAATATAAGGGTTAATACATTTAGTGGTGGATTTAGATGCTGTTTTGTTTTTTTAAGCAAATGATCAAACCATGGATCAGAGAGAGGATGCCTACACAACCACCAACCCCCACAAAGCTCAGAGGTAAGGAAGGATCTCTTACACTCCCCCACTGTTCTCAGATTAAAGCCACTGCTCCATCTGTCCACAGACCTGCTCCTGGGACCAGCGCCGTCTCATTGAAGAGTGATGACTCAATGGAACATGTCATAAATTTTAAACGCGACATACGTCCAAAGTAAGTTGCCATTAGACTATTTTTTACATCTGAAAATGACAACAACTTTAGGCAAAAAAGTTGTCCAAAATCCCCTGAAACATCAGATCTATAACAGGACGACACCACTGCTACAAAACTGAACAAGGACTAAAGCTTTGTTAAGGATTTGCATCACGTGAATTAATGTTTTGGCGGCCATATTGGAGGAAGAATATGGTTCAACCTAAAACAATGAATATTATTAGTAAACCTAGTAGACCTACAACATATAAGATGATTTCAGAGTGGGGCAGTCCCAAAACACGTGTGTACAGTCTCCAATAACAATACAATTTCTCCAACACAAATTTGATTTGGTTTTGTCAAAACTGAAAGTTACGGAGCAAGTTCTAAAAAAAAAAAAAACATCATAACCTTCCAATTGAATTCTTTCCAAATAGGACTATTTGTCACAGTTCTGCCTTTTTGTTTACTTTTTCCCCAGTCCAGTTCCATTTCTGAGTCTGTTCCGGTCCTCCTTTTGCCACCTCCCTCCTTTTCCTACAGCTGCCCTCATTCTGTAATCAGCCCAGGCCCAGTCTTTATATACTCCCTCTGCTCCCTCAGTCTTTGCCAGATTGTCTACCTGTTAAGACAGACATTCAAGCTCCTGAAAACCCCAAATCTGAAAACCCTGTATTCCCTGAAATCTGATCTGTTTGTGACTTCTGCAATTTGGAGTTTCCCTGTTTGTTGTCCCTGTTCCTGATTTTCCTCCCAGTGTGTTTTTTACTAGTGTATTCCCAGTCTTGGAAGATATTTTTGTTCACATTTAATATCTTATATTCCCCTGTTATATTTCCAGTCTGAGTTGTCATTAATAACATTTCCTGTTATAGGACACCTTCTGTTATTTAAATAACTTTGTTTGCCTGAGTACTTGTTGCATTTGAATCCAATTTACCGGCGTGATACTATTAGTAGTTTTATGAATTTAGTCACACTGCAAAAAACTAAATCTAGCCAAGTTAAGATGACTTGTATTAAGAAAGTTTTATCATTATTTCAGTAAATTTCACTTGACAAGTAAAATGATCTGCCAGTGGAATAAGACTTTTTGTACTTAAAATGTTAAAATGCATTTTGCTAGTCTTGAAATACGAAAAACAACAACTTTTTGCACTTAAAATAAGACACAAAATCGAATGTTGCTTGAATAAAGAAGAAAATAAAATATCATTTGTTTTTTCCCCAGTGCACATGCCAGCTTCGAGACTTCATCGCTAATATATTTTTTTTATTTAATAAAATTGGGCAGAACCAAAACACTATCAGGCTTTTTCCCTTGGCACACAAGTGAGAAAACCATTTTAACCAGATATTTAAATGTGGATGGTGGTGTCCATTAGCTTGATTCATCAGCCGGTTTCACTTCGTAGAAACTGTCTGACCTCGCAGCATTAGAATTTGTTAGGTCGACGTAAGGTGGGTACTTTTTTTTATTTTGGTCGGGACCGCTAATGGGGTTAACTGGTATATGAAGCTTTTCCCAAATCCCGTAGGAAGAAGGGCAATAACATCTTTCCCCTTGATAAAATTCACCAAACATTCTCTTTGTTACTGTTTTAAATCCTCGATCAGAATATATGGCTCTTCGCTGAGAGGAAACGAGGAAAGATGTTCATAATATTATACCAAGAAAAGACGACTATAATAATATACAGTATAATATTTGAAAGGAATTGACCATAGTTTTTTATTATATAGTTGAGAAAACTGTGGTGTCATCGTAACCCCAGTATACTTAAAACCCAATGCAGGCCAATTAAATTAAATATTATTCTTTTGGTCTCTCACCTACCAACTTCAGAGCCTGTGACCAAGACCAGACCAAATTCCCCCAGAGCGTTCAAGAGTGCTGGAACTGAGGGTAGTGGGTTAGTGTTGTATGAGATGATATCGTCAGCATATAGTGACAGTTTGTATTTGAAGAACTATGGCCCCCCTGCAGTCTGTGGACCTCCTTAATCATCTGCCAAACGTTTTATACTAACAGCAAACAGCAGGAGGCTCTGTGGGCTTCTTTGCCTGGTTCCTCTCTTCGACTTGAATTCCTCTGAGACGCACCCATTTACTCTCACGTTACAGGTTGGACTCAAATACAGCTCGTAAATCCACTTGACGAAGTTGGAACAAACGCCCCTTTCTTCCAAGGTGTATTCTAAGTAAACCCAGCCCAGCCTGTCAAATGCTTTCTCAGAATCTAAGGTGAGAAGCATTGAAGATTCTTTCTTTAATTTGGCACACATCATTATCCTGGAACTGACATGAAACCAAATTGTCTCTTACTATTGAGCATTTTCATTACTACTCTGTGCACGTTGTCTAAATTTAATGTTTCTTTACATTCATTTCAGTCTTTTTCCCCATTCCTTCTTAATTTTAGATGAAAAGCAGAATAAATTTTCTTCTAAACACTCCCTTTGTGGATGCTGAAACTTCACCCTCATCATTATGTTCTATGTAGTCACTAAGTTCTTGCTTTATATACTGTACTACATAGAATCATTCAAAAGGGAAGCATTCAGTTTCCACAGCTTCACACTTGTCCTGTTACCTAAATTTAATGTAAAGAGCGGCATGATCTGAAATGGTTATTGGCTGTATGTGGCAATCAGTAACTAACCATATGCCTCCAGTTTTAATACACGAAACACATCTTTTCTAAAGTAACTAACATGTACCTTGAAAAAGAAGTGTAAATGCATTTTTTGGAGTGTTTGTGATTCCAGATATCCACCATTATTGGTCCCAGTTGTTTTATTTAGTTTTTGGTTCATAACACAACTGAAATCCCCACTTGCAATCAAAACCCCTTCTGTAAATGGAGATTAAATCACATATACGTCCTTAATAAAAGAAGGGTTGTCTTCATTTGATGCATACCAATTTAGAAGTGATATTATGACATGTCCTATTGCTCCAACAATCAAGATGAAACACCCCATTCTGTCATTGTGTCTTCTCAACCATGAGACGTTTTATGTACTAAAATGGTGACGCCTCTTTTTCTCCCGTCCTCATAAGTTCAACTTAAAACATCCCTGTTGATTATCCAACACAACAATGCCTGGCTGAGTCTCCATTATATTCTGCTTTAAAGATGTTTCCCACTTTGAACTTGGGGTGTCCAGCTCGTACTCTGCACAGATGTTTCTGTACACTATGCCCGCCACTGCTGGTTATGTCACTCCATGTTTGCTTTCCCTGCAGCATCTTACACCTGCAGTTATGTGCTGGAATGTCTCAAGAGCCTCTTTACACCGTGGGTCTTGACTGGTGTGGTAGATCTAGGCCTCTATTGCTTGGGTGCTCAGGCCCTTAACTTTTTAGAACATAAAATGTGCTGGTGTATCACTCTTTGGGCAGACAGCTCTCTCTGGGTGATGTGCATGTAGTGCAACAGTGACCATCTCCCAAGGTATGTCCTGTGGTTGTACTCAGATCACCTTAAAGGCTGAGCTCCCATTGAATTTTGCTGCACAACTGTAAGCGTCCATCAATGTGGATGGGGATCCACAGAATACGAGGGAAGATTGTGAGCAGCTAATTACAACTGCTTATTCTTTCTATTCCCACAGTAAGAAACAACAGTATTCAGGGGACCAGAGAGATCAACAACAGTCGCAGCTAGACTCCATATTTAAGGTCTGTCATTCACAAAAGTTTGGAAATGTTCAGATCAATGAGAGCTTGTTTCACACAGATTGTGCACTGACTGCATTTGTATCTGTTAAGACTCTGGAGGAGGACATCTTCACTTTTGTACAGAAGGAGCTGAAGAAGTTTCACAAGATTTTGAGTACAGATTACCCACAATGCTTACAACATGTACAGAATGAGGATGAAGAGCAGAGGAGCAGCAGTGAGGCTGTTCTGAAGATTACACTGAACTTCCTGAGGAGGATGAAGCAGAAAGAGCTGGCTGAGCATCTGTGGAGCAGTAGGACCATTTAACACATTTAACAAAGTGCTCACAGTCATTTTATATTCTCTGAGAATAAGGCCTGTATATGTTTTCTTCATTCAGGGAGCTATTCTGGAGTTTGTGAGGATAAACTGAAGTCTAACCTACAGCAGAAGTTTAAGTGTGTGTTTGAGGGCATCGCTAAAGCAGGACACCCCACCCCTTTGAATCAGATCTACACAGAGCTCTACATCACAGAGGGAGGGCCTTCAGAAGTTAACCAGGAACATGAGGTAAGACACATGGAAACAGCCTCCAGGACACCAGGCCCAGCAGAGACAACCATCACATGTGAAGACATCTTTAAAGGCTCAGCTCACACACACGGACCAATCCGAACAGTACTGACAAAGGGAGTGGCTGGCATCGGGAAAACAGTGCTCACTCAGAAGTTTAGTCTGGACTGGGCTGAAGGCAACGCAAACCAGGACATACAGCTGCTGTTTCCGTTCACTTTTAGAACACTCAATGTGCTTAAGGAGAGAAGTTTCAGCTTGGTGACACTTGTTCATCACTTCTTTAGTCAAACACAAGCAGAACTCTGCAGCTTTGAAGATCTCCAGGTGCTCTTCATCTTTGACGGTCTGGACGAGTGCAGACTTCCTCTGGACTTCACCAAAACAAGGGCCCTAAATGACCCAACAGAGTCCGCCTCAGTGCACGTGCTGCTGGTGAACCTCATCAGGGGGAGCCTGCTTCCCTCCGCTCGCCTCTGGATAACCACACGACCTGCGGCAGCCAATCAGATCCCTGCTGAATGCATCTCCATGGTGACAGAGGTCAGAGGGTTCACCGACCCACAAAAGGAGCAGTACTTCAGGAAGAGGTTCAGAGATGAGGCTGACACAATCATCTACCACATCAAGACATCCAGAAGCCTCCACATCATGTGCTACATGCCGATCTTCTGCTGGATCGCTGCCACAGTCCTGGAGCATGTGTTGAAATACAAAGAGAGAGGAGAGCTGCCCAAGACCCTGACTCAGATGTACATTCACTTCCTGGTGGTTCAAGCCAAAATCAAGAACATCAAGTATGAAGGAGGATCTGAGACAGACCCACATTGGAGTCCAGAGACGAGGAAGATGGTAGAGTCTCTGGGAAAACTGGCCTTTGAGCAGCTGCAGAAAGGAAACCTGATCTTCTACGAGAGTGACCTGAACGAGTGTGGGCTGGACGTGGCAGCAGCCTCAGTGTACTCTGGAGTATTCACACAGGTCTTTAGAGAGGAGCCAGGCCTGTACCAGGAGAAGGTTTACTGCTTCATCCATCTGAGTGTGCAGGAGTTTCTGGCTGCTCTTCACGTCCATCAGACTTTCATCAACACTGGGATCAACTTACTGGTAGAGCAAAAATCTGTGTTTTCCTTCTTAAAGCATCTAATCTTTGGCAGCAGTTTGTCTGAATTTTACCAGACAACTATAGACAAAGCATTACAAAGTCCAAAAGGACATCTGGAGATGTTTCTGCGCTTCCTCCTGGGTCTTTCCCTGTCGACCAATCAGATCCTTCTACAAGGTCTGCTGAAACACACAGGAAATAGATCCCAGACCAATCAGGAAGCAGCTGAGTACATCAAAAAGAAACTGAGCGACGATGTGTCTGCAGAGAGCAGCATCAACCTGCTCCACTGTCTGAATGAACTAAATGAGCGTTCTTTGGTGGAGCAGATCCAACAGTATCTGAGTTCAGAACGTCTGTCTGAAGGACTGTCTCCTGCTCAGTGGTCAGCTCTTGCCTTCATATTACTGTCATCAGAAGTAGATCTGGACCAGTTTGAGCTGAAAAAATACTCTGCTTCAGAGGAGGCTCTCCTGAGGCTGCTGCCAGTGGTCAAAGCCTCCAACAAAGCTCTGTGAGTAGCCTTTGTTTAACAGACGATAGATTGATTCAACTTCTACATTAACAGTGTTTTCTCTCTCCAGACTGAGCTGCTGTAACCTGTCAGAGAGAAGCTGTGAAGCTCTGTCCTCAGTCCTCAGCTCCCAGTCTTGTAATCTAAGAGTCCTGGACCTCAGTCACAACGACTTGAAGGACTCAGGGATGAAGATGTTGTCGATTGGACTGAGCAGTCCTCACTGTAAACTGGAACAGCTCAGGTTAGGGGAATGTTGTCATCAGTAGGTTTAAGTTTTAACAAAATACTTCACCCTAAGGGGTGCGTAAAGCAATTATTAAATATATATAACTTAGAGATGTCAATCATAGATTCACATCAATTATTTTCTATTAGACTGTCAGGTTGTCTGGTCTCAGAGGAAGGCGTTGCTGCTCTGGCCGCGGCTCTGAGGTCCAATCCCTCCCATCTGAGAGAACTGGACTTCAGCTACAACCATCCAGGAGACACAGGAGTAAAGCTCCTGTCTGCTCTGCAGGAGGACTCCTTCTGCACACTGGACACTCTCAGGTACAGGCAGCTGTTATTCATTCATTTTCTTACAGTCGGAAAAACTGGGCTACTCACAAATTTTCAAACCATGAAACGAGGAAGTAGGCATTTAATTAAAAATGACATGTTCCTACCTCACGCAAACTCTGGCACATTGCTTGTATGGCCATACATAAGTCTTCAGGTGCATGCACTGCTTTAAAACACATTTTAATGGGCAATGGTTGGATCCCAAATTCAAGCTTATCCCTCTTTCTTCCAGGTTTACAATCTGTAGAATATCTCCAACTTAGATGCAGCCTTTATACAGAGGTCTGATTTTATCACAGAGCTTTTAAAATATATTCTATGGGAGGAAAAACTACATTTTGTCATTCACAAAAAGAAAGTCATCCATCATTAAGAGTAAAGGTTAAAGCACAACGGTGTGTAAAGGACATGAGTCAACAAACGTTGACCAGCTTTGAAAAGGGATTTAGCTCACCGCTTGGGTCATTTAGGAGTTTTGTTCTCCAGATAATTAACAAAAAAGAGACAACGTGAGGGGAGGAAAGATGTGGTTTGAGCTGGTTATAGTGTGTTTGGTGGAGAGGGGGCAGTGCAACTCCTGCAACATTGTCCCTCTAATTAACCTTAACTGTGGTGCTTCTGAGTGTCACAGAGCAGAAGTGCCAAAAACATGTGTTTTCAACTGCAAAAGCAGTGCTGCATACAAATTCAGCATGCTCCAAACATAGTATTGGCCAAATGTTGCATGGTGTGGTCACGATCAGAAAATAGTGAAAAACTTTGCTGTGCATCAAAGCATCTCAGTTTGCATTAATCTTTAGTTTAACTTTTTACAATCACAACTGATGCCACACAAACTGACCAATGTAAGCTCCATCTTTCCTCCAGATTGAAGCCTGCTGGAGCCTGGTGCCTCAGTTCACCGAGAAGATGTAAGTGTTATTGAATCAAAGTTATAGAAAAGAGAAAAATTCTAATTATTATTTAATATTTTTAAACTATATTTTATGTAACTATTTAGAACAATTCATGATACACATTCAGTGTCGACACAGACATGTTTACCTGCTTTTGTATTGCTTTCATTTCATCAGATTTCTGTGAACTCTTTCTGGATCCAAACACAGCTCACAGAAACCTCAAACTGTCTGACAACAACAAGAAGGTGACACGTGTGATAGAAGAACAGCCGTATCCAGACCATCAGGACAGATTTGAGACCTGGGTTCAGATTCTCTGTTCCACTGTTCTGACTGGTCGCTGTTACTGGGAGCTCCAGTGGAGTGGAAGGGTTTATATCTCAGTGTCTTACAGAGGAATCACAAGGAAAGGACACGGTGACAGTGCATTTGGAGGCAATGATCAGTCCTGGTGTCTGGTCTGCTCTGAAAAGGGGTTCTCTGTTTGGCACAATAACAAAGAAACCCCTCTCCCTCAGCCCACGTCCTCCTCTTCTGGGAGAGTAGCAGTGTTTGTGGACTGTCCTGCCGGCTCTCTGTCCTTCTACACAGTCTCCTCTGACCACCTGACCCACCTCCACACCTTCGACGCCACATTCACCCAGCCTCTGCTCTCTGGGTTTATGATCTGGCCCGTCTCCTCAGTTTCTCTGTGCACTTCCTCTGACTTATGACACTTTAGCAGCGGTTTGATAAATCAGAGACTACACACACTCACTTCATATTGTCTCATTCTATATTATATTTAACAACCACATGATAATCAAACATGTAATAGTCATGAACCATTGCGTGATGAAATGTTGCTCCGTGTGTGGAATATTATGTTGAATTTTTATTTTGTTAATTTATTGTTACACAACTTGGAACCATCCAAGTTCGCTCAGCAAAACTAAAGAGTGAAAACAGTTCTTTCTGTAATCCATGAATTGACAAGACATATATGTGAATGTAATCTAATAAAAAATAAGATTCAATAACTAAGAATTTTCATTTTGTCAGACATCTATACAATTAACATTAGCAATCCATTACCGTGCGAGAGAGAGAAAGGTGCTAATGGATTTAAGACTTTATAACAATAAACATAAATATTCAATCTAATCTGCTTTATTTCTATAGCACATTTCATAAACAAAACAGTTTCCAAAGTGCTGCACTATACAAATAAATTATATCCAATAGAAATATAAAATAAAGCTCTAAAAGGGTTTCTGCTTATTTAATTCTACTAGTCCTCGTTCAGACAATAAAACTAGTAAAGTCAAATAAGAGCAAGAATACCAATAAACAACAAAAAGGTAAAAAAAATAAATACATAAATAAAAGACACAGAAGACCATACAACTCACACAATGTTAAAAGCCAGAAAATAAATGTGTGTTTTAAGACGAGACTTAAAACATTTTGGGGACTGTTCGGACGTGGGGGGGGGGGGGGGCAGAGCGTTCCAGAACTTGGGGCCGGCTACTGAGAAAGCCCAGTCCCTCCTGGTTTTAAGTCTTGTTTTAGGCACCACGAGCTGAAGCCAAACACTGAACTAAACACCGAAAGCGTCGTCAAACGAGGGCAGCAAAGAATATATTTATTGAGGAAACTGAACTCTTTTAGCGTGAACAAAATGATTCTTAACAATTTTTATTGCTCTTTTATTGAAAGTCTTCTTACTTTTTCTTTTATTTGCTGGTTTGAATCCTTGTCTGTGAAGGATAGAAACAAACCTCACAATATTGTTAAAACCTGCTCAAAAATCACAGGGATCAAACTGAGGGAGCTGCACTCTTTGTGGGAGGAGCAGGTGCTGAGCAAAGCCAAGTGTCTCCTGGCTCAGCCGCTCCATCCTCTGGCTCCTGATTTTATCCTGATGCCTTCAGGGCGTCAGTTTTATGCTCCAGTACGGAAAACCAAAAGGTTTTCTAATTCTTTCGTGCCCAGTGCTATTAAATTATTAAATTGTAAGGGTACAGTTTTATGATAGTTTTATGAAAGTTTTACACTGCAATTTGTTATTTATTTTGAGTTCCACTGGTGGACGACAATTGGACTGACACACTGTGTGCTTGTTTGTGTTTGTGTTTGCTCGGAGATGCTGCAAATGAATTGCCTTATGGGATCAATAAAGTTTTCTGAATCTGAATCTGAGCGCGCAGGGGAGTAAATTTGGATGAGATCCGAGATTTAACATGGGGCCAGTCCATTCAAAAGTTTTAAAAACAAACTAAATCTTAAATTGAACTCTAAAACTAACTGGAAGCCAGTGCAAAAACAAAGTAGACAAGTAGAATATTAAAAGATAAGAATGGTTTCAAAAATGATAAATGATGAATAATAGATGATAGATAATATTTTTGGATATTCTGTGGATGTTCTGTGGTTAATCCCAGTTTCCCCATTGAAAGTCCATCACATTTCATTTTTCACCTCCATTTTGGAATTTAGAATGATCAGTAATGTTTTAAATGTGTTATTGCTATGGCAACAGTCCAGAATTTGTATCTTATAAGCTCATGTCTCGTCTCCATGACGATGACATTCCATCCTTCATGACACGTCTCAAAGCTTTATGACATCACAGTTTTGTGTGTATGAATGAGAGAACATCCTGAAAACTGTTCATTTATCCAGATCTTCTGAAGAGACAAGTCACATTTCTGAAGCAGAGAGAAGAATTTACAAACCAAGACACAAAACCCAAAAGAAACTAAAATGGAGAGCCACAAAGGAAATATGATGCCGTTACAGAAAAAGATTGACATCAACTATAAACATGAAGTCAGTCAGGTTTACGAACTGGCTCAAAAACACTACCTGCCAGTAGATTTTAAAGAGGTAAAGATGGAAGGTCCCATCTACAACGCGATCTTCACCTTTCGTGTAACGGTTGGGGAATTCTCCGCTGAAGCCGAAGCACCGACCACAATGCTTGCCAAAAACTGGCAGCACAACGGATTCTGCCGGACCTGCTCCGCCTCCCTCCTCCACCTGAGGAGGAGAGAAGATATTCCAGGGAGAGGAAACAAAAGAAACACATTCTCTGGCGTGAACTCCCCAAGTTCAATCAACAGGAAAGCACGGTGCAGTGTCTGGAGATGCTGGTGTCCAAGTGGCATGGAAAGCCCCCAAAGTACACTGTGGTGGAGATAGACCGGGAGAGCGAGCCTTGGATCTATCACATGCAGCTGACTGTGGCAGACCACACTGTGGTGGGGACCGGTGAGTCCAGGGTAGAGGCTAAAAAAGTCGCTGCAGCCAAAATGCTCAATTCCTTTGGCTATAATTACATTTATACGGAACCACAACCGCGTCCCCGAGAAGTGCCACTGGATCGTGCCCAGGAAAACACAGCTGCAGTTTCTCCACATCCGTTTAATGAGGAGGCTACAGAGAATAACGCCCGTCTGGAAGATACAACTGAAGACACTTGTTCTGCTCCTCAGGAGAACCAGTCTGAGGAGATCCAGCCGTCACCAGTGGCCCTGGATCTGTCTGAATCAGTTATGGAAGAGGTTCTTCAAGAACCATCTGAAATACTGACCGACACATGTCCCGAACCCACAGGTGACAACCATGAGACAAACCAGTGGAGCGAACCTCATGCACCTCGGGGCAGTGTAGAGACGACACCTGAAGCTGCCCCAGTCCACTTACCTGAGGTTAGTGAGGCCACCACACCTCAGGGACAAGTAAGTAGAGGTAACATCAGAGCCCCACACTGCACCTGTCACACTGCAGGAAGTCTCATCACAAACCATTCCATTTATTTCTCAGGAAATCATGCCTGAAGAAATTATCTTGGAAAATGCTCTGGAAGACTCGCCTGCAGGGATCGAGCCGTCACCTGAGACCAGCCAGGACCCAATATCAGAGACCAGTGCAAATGCTGAGCCCCAAGAGGAGGTCCAACCTGCAGCAGTGAATCTACAGGTGCTGCCTGTGGAAATCCTGTCCAAGTTGACCTTCATTGGGGTTATACAAGAAAACAATGGAATTGTTCAGTGGTGTGAATCAAATCCAACCACCACTCACCAAGAAGGACCTGAAGTCTGCAGTCTGCATCAGGCTGAAGAACCCCAGAGCAGCACACCACCAGCTCCATGTGAACCTGCACATGAGCCAGAGGTCAGCAGGGAGGTCAGTCCGGGAGAAGACACCCACCATCAAGAAACACATGAACGGATCTCTGTTCTTGAAACTCAAACAGAGACAAGCAGCCCACCTGCCCCACCCTGTGGACATCTAGTGTCGTACACCATTACACATGCTTGTGTCAAGAAAATCTTTAAAATGGCAAAGTGCGATTACAGCTATTGCCGAATGGCTGTCGGGCTGCATAGACAGATTGAAGAGCACCTCAAAGTCACTGGAGATGGTGTTGTCAGCTTAAAAGACTTGAAAAAAATAGGCAAAAAAGCAGCCAAAAGTCTCAAAAAGGAGTATGGCTCGGCTGACGCCCTCCTGAGGGCTGTTGGTGCACAAGACAAAACACCTTTCGAAGCAGCTGCAGTGACCCATCTCAATAACGCTCTGACAGCCTTCCACAACCGCCCCACGTCCGCCCTCTCACGCTTCTTCTCCAGAGTGAGGAGGGCGTTCACTTGTCAATGAGTCCAATCTGACAACTATGTACATTTAGACACATTGTACTGGAAATCACGTTTTCATTAAAATGTGTGAAATTACATATATTTGTCCAGATAAAGCTCTGAGAGTCTTCCACAACCAGCCCAAGTCCACTCTCACAGGTCTCCAGACTGAGGAGGGCGTTCACTGTTTTATGAGGCCCTTTATTTGACAAACAATGTGCATTTTGAATAATTTTGAAAGAAATAATGTTTCCTTTAAAATGCGCTGAAATGCATTAATTTACTCCAAAAATAAAGAACGTATACCCAATATACTGTTGTGCTTATTTGTCTGCTTTAAATGCACTGACTATTTCAAGAGTTCTGTATTTTCAAATAATTTGGGTTTTTTCTTTAGTCTAATTTTCAGACTAAATACTTTTTTAAATTCCTTCACTGTACTGAATCTACACTATTCAGTGAACTACCAAATGGGATCTGTCAAAATATATGTTAGAATTTTAACAAGTATTCAAGAACACCAATCTTTTATAAAATAATCTTCATAGTTCTGAAACAAAATTAATTTCCAAATCACTGACACTGACTAATATTTAACAGTAATCACATTTTATAATGCATTTAGTGGTATTCGGGGCAGAAATGGTGTGGTCACTGCAGATGTTTGGCAGCTTCTGTTGGTGTCGGACTAAAGCAGCGTTTCCCAAACGAACCCATGCGAACCCATATTTTAAAAGTCACAAGCCTTTGCCACCCAAGCCAATCGACATTATTCATAAATCACAATATAAAGGTGGATTTGACCATTATTGAACATTATTGATGATATTTTATGGTTGACTGAGTGATCGTGTCTCTCTGAACAATTAGTATTACTCAAGTTTTAAACAATGAGAAACAGTCATTGAACCAACAATAAAAGGAATCATAAGTCACCTATTTGGACATTAAATGTAAACCCATTTCTTTTTCTTTTCAACATTCAATTGATCTAACAATATTGGAACAAAATAGTACAATACAATAATTACAATGGGCAAATTGTTGCTGGGTTTAAACGTTCTGGAATATTACGGGTGGGTAGTAATTGCACACGGGCGGGTCGGGACTAAACTAGGACTAAACCAGGACTACACCAGCTCTCCGTCGGTCCTTTCTCCTCACTTTAACACCTTAACGGGCGGGTGAGGTGCTGTACAGCGACCCGTGCAGGACTCTGCGCTCTCTGGCTCCATTACGGAATAAATTAATCTTCGGTTCGTTACATAAAGAGGAAAATAACATAAGGACGACAGCAGCTATAAGTTTTAAGAAGGATCCAAAAAGGGTTGTAACTGTCCTGTCTG